ATGAGTGTTTTACAAACGATTCGAACCATGGCTCGACCAAACTTGCCTGATATGCCACCAAAGCGGACTAAAAAGCTACGATTAGGTATAAGTATCACTACAAATAGATATAAAGGCTTCAAAACAACACAAGGAGTGACCAATTTATGATATTTATTAATGTTGTTGTTGTTGTTAAATGTTTATAGTGGTCGATGCGCTTAGCTACAACTAGCTAGTAAGTATTTCAAAGAAACATAATAGACTTACAAATCCCTACTTTCGGGAGGCAGACTAGTTGGCTATTTACAAACATGACCGAGGAGTTGAACTAGGGTCTACCGACAAACAAATCTAGCTTAGTGGTCAGAGTGGGACTTGACCTCGCGACCTCCTGATTTCAAGGCCGGCGCCCTAACCACTCGGCCACGTTACCTCCATTAAAAGGTTTAGACACTTGAAAAGACCTAGTATAGAATCTCAGGTCACCAGATACCCGTTTTAGGCTACTGACTGTCTGCCAAAAACCAACGGAACAGCCACGGGTGGCTATTCTGTCGATTGTGGGTTTGACAATGTACCCACCACTTGAGCCTGAGTTGCATGCCTACGTAAATGTTAAAAAAAANCGAAATTGGTTACAGTAAGTATCTAATCGTACCTTTTATTGTTACACTTCAGAGGCACATCAGGCTCATTTGGTCTCGCCATGAGTGTTTTACAAACGATTCGAACCACGGCTCGACCAAACTTGCCTGATATGCCACCAAAGCGGACTTAAAAGCTACGACTAGGTATAAGTATCACTACCAATAGAGATAAAAGCTACAAAACAACACAAGGAGTGACCAATTTATGATATTTATTAATGTTGTTGTTAATTGTTTATAGTGGTCGATGCGCTTAGGTACAGCTAGCTAGTAAATATTTCAAATAAACATAATAGGCTTACAAATCCCTACTGTCGGGAGGCAGACTAGTTGGCTATTTAGAAACATGACCGAGAAGTTAAACTAGGGTCTACCCACAAACAAATCTAGCTTAGTGGTCAGAGCGGGACTTGAGCTCGCGACCTCCTGATTTCAAGGCGGGCTCCCTAACCACTTGGCCACGCTACCTCCAGTAAAAGGTTTAGTCACTTGAAAAGACCTAGTATAGAATCTCAGGTCACTAGATACCCGTTTTAGGCTACTGACTGTCTGCCAAAAACCAACGGAACAGCCACGGATGGCTGTTCTGTCGATTGTGGGTTTGACAATGTACCCACCACTTGAGCCTGAGTTGCATGCCTACGTAAATATTAAAAGAAACTAAGCATAGAAATCGCAAGCCGTGAAATTAAATACTGTTTGACCCTGAATTACTGTTAAGTGCATGTTAAAACGGCTATGCACTAAAATAGAGAACACTTTTCGCTATAAACTTTATCTTTTTTTTTAAGCTACTAGAAACCAATGTCACTTTAATTGGGTCAATCGCTACTCCACTTCAAATACGCCATTACTGCATGAATGAAGCTCCATTGCCTTCGATATGCCGACATCACTTTGATTAAACTGAGAAGTTTTCCTGGCCGAGTTTACATCGTTTGCACTTGAAACTGGAAAAACCGCGTTCATCCTTCTTCTGAACCGCTCCTTAATCTGAGGATCAAACAAAACTTAAAGTCAAGCAAAAGTAAAAAAGTCTCTTGTTGATGTTTTTTTTCTGCAACTAGACTTTAAATAACCACCTGTATCCGTATTTACTCCTTTAAGAGTCCTTATATCAAGTTAAGCTATGGCGCTTGAGCACATTCACGTATCTGTCTCTAAATTTGCTTCCCACAACATTCGGCATCTAAAGTAGAAATATTCCCAACATTTGAGTGGCCGGCTGTCTAATAATGCGATGCATGATCTGCCGAGTGAGTTCATCGATAGATCGTTCATCGATTTTCAAGTCAGTGCTCTTACCTGACTGTTTCTCAAACAATGCAAGAGAAAAATCAGGAATCCCTGTTGGAGAAAATAAAAAAAAAAAAAAAATAAATTAACAATAGTTTTACAGAACAGCGAAGAAATTGCTTCTTTCGGAATAATTGCAAAAAAAAGTATCTTTCTCTACTTGAAAGTTTTGGGATCAGGTCTACCTTTAGCTTCTTGTCCTGCTCACAGGAAAAACGTTAATGATTATTGACTAATTTAATTAAGGGCAATTAAAAAAAGTGCAGTTAAGGTTTGTCCAATTATTATCATTATTTAGTTTCTGTGATGAAATGTAAATGTAGCATACCAAGAAACACGGGGCTCCCAAAGTGAGAAATTTACACCATCGAAAATGTTATCTTCTTACAATACAGTTCTCTACTCTTATCATAAAAAAAAAACAAAAAAACAAAACAAAACAAAAACAAAAAAATAAAATAAACACAATTGTAAAAATAGTTGAATCCAGGACTCTAACTAACTAACCTGCGCAGAGTTAAGTATCGTGAAAATGTAAACAAATGCCTTGTGCAGAGGCGATAGAAGACCGAACAACCACGTGATCCCTAGAAGAGGAATCAACACTGCGCATGCCTTGATGCCAAGTCTGAAATAACAAAACGCAAGATAAATTTCTGGCCACATGCTAGAGAAGCAACCACGCTGGGCCGTAAGTCACGTGGGACGTCTTGCACCGTTTACAAGGTTCTTGATAATAGGCCAAACAATAAAAATAGATTAGATCAAAAACGATGCCACTAAAGTGCAGATTATCAATAACGAATCAAAGGAAAGGTTTGAAGTTGTGCAGATCAACCGAGTAACGTAATGGGACAGCCGAAACAAAGGAAAGTCAAGCTTGACTGCAGGTGCGAGCTGCTTGTTCTTGATGTGCCACTGCGTAGATGAAGCTTACTGCTCAGTATGGCGAATTTTGTCCCATCTGACCGAGTCGTGCAAATTACAATTTTTACAGAAAAAGGCACAGAACAAAGTCATGGGCATGGTGATATGTTGGCCCGACAGAGACTGATAGAGTAGCGATGGAGAAACTGTTGTTCTTTTCAAGTCTTTATTCTTACCGTATCTGCTGAATGTGGTTTCCTCCTGTTGACTGCATTGTGGTCATTTCTTTGATCACTCGAATGAATATCAAGATGTTAACCTTGATCATAAAATTAAAATAATCAAATATATCAGTGGCTTTTAGTTCTAAAAGAAGAAAAAGTAAAAAGTAACCTCATGCATAGTTTAAAACTATAGATACTTGTAGGTCTTATATGAAACAAACAACACAAAAAATAGTACATCGTGGTAAAAAGAAAAGCAATTCTTGATTTATTCTCATCCTTCACTGAGTAATGTCCATATTTTAAAACTTTGATACTTCTTTATTATTAATTTGTAATTTTTATCTCAGTAAGTAGGTTTCTTTATCTTAACTTCCCAAAATTTCAATCTCTTAATAAATTTGTTGAAGTCTTAAAAGTATTTAAGACCAACTTATTCAGTATTCAAATTCAACTTCAAATTGATAAATAGCTAAGAGTTTAACTTGAGATTCGATTTACTCACAGCTTCGATCATCACCACAAATGCGACAAATATCCAGATCAGATTGTTATCCGAAGACATCCAGCAGCTAGAAGAAACAAATAAAATTCAACAAAAAAGGCAAACAAGAAAAAAGAATCAACACATTTAATGTGATGTGATTGAATGATGGGATGGTATTTTAAAAACGTCGGGAAATATCTTTTTTCATACACTGAGTGAGAATAATTCTGTCAACATGATGAATCAGAGATGGCAAAGGAGAAGATTAGTAAAGGAATACATTTCTTACTATTCCTCACTGACAAATCCCTGGATTCCTTCTTTTCCTGATGCAACACTTAGCGAGATTGTAACCATAACGGCAGGGAAACCTGCAATACATTATAAAAAGAGGAAAACAAAAAGGGAAAAAAGAAGCATTTCTCTCGGACATGAATCGAGCGATCAATAAATTCGTAGTGTTATGCAGGTACAACAGCAAATAACTAAAATAATCCATTACACAATAATTTACCCCATGACATGACGTAGTACACGTTCATCTTGTTGTTGATGT